GGCTTTCCTTTAGACTTGGAGATCTTCTCTTCCATCTTAATGCTTAAGAAGCAAGCGGGTCTCCTCCCCGGGCGTAGGCGGGCGTATTACCTGTTTCCTCGCCCAGGTTTTAAGCTTTTACACGATCTTCCTAACAAGGTCCCGGCGTGGAAGCGGGACTACTTTGGGGTGCGAAGTGTGCTGGGTGGCCGTTTCAGACCGGGTGGGGGTGGCCGCCCCTGACTCTGGTGTTACGCTTGACAAAGAGACGGTGAAGGGCCTCTGGCAATGGGCGCGGCTTGGGCTAAAGTGCTAACAGTATCTGACGAAGGCCAAGCTCATTGCGGCCGGCCTGAGTTCGGGTAGGTTCCTTACTTGGAGGTCCTATTTTGCTCCGTCTGGCTTTTTTTTGAAGCCGAACTCTTTTTTTTTTTTTGCAGGTGTGATGGACTCAAGAGGGACTCATGGTGGGCGCTTGTTTCAAGGCATGAAGAGGAGGAAGCGAGTTGCCAAGCGAACTCGCGCCGAGCTGCCCCAGGATGCGGAGCCCGAGGTACCGGACTACCCGTTGGGGGATTCGCCCAGGGAGCCCGAGATGGCTCCTCCAATGCAAGAAGCGGCAGGGGGACCGTATGCTGAGACAACTTACACGGGGGCTCCCACCTACTCTGGTGCTCCTGCTTACTTTGGGTCTGCTCATACGCGAGCTGGGCCCTCGGGCTCGGGGGCCCCAGGGGAATTCAGGAGTGTGTTGTAGCCGACCTACGCTCTTCAGAAGAGTAAGGAGGCCATCTTCCCCGAGGAGGTCGCGGCGTGGACTGATCTCCCTCTGCACCAGGTGGCCTACCGTGCTGTTACTCATGACTTGGTGGTAAGTCAGACTTTTTATCGAGCTCTTTTGCTTTTATCCTTCTTGTCGTGTTGTTACTCACTCGTTCTTTTTGGTAGGTAAACTCTTCTATTCACGCCTTGGCGGCCTAGGTGGAAAGGAGCTCGAGGCAGGCGCGAGCTGCTGAAGAGGCTCTTCGTGCTACTGAGACGGCTTCCCGAGCTGCTGAGGCGGCTTCCCGAACTGCTGAGGCGGCTGCTCGTGCTGCAGAGGCCAGGCAGGCGAGGTCTCAGAGAGATGTTGAGGCCATGGGAGTCGTAGTGAAGCACATGGCGGACCTGAGGCTGGATTTGCAGCATCAGGTCGAATACCTTCAGGAGGACATTAAGGAGAGGACGCATATCTTTTCTCAAGGTATTGAAGATGCCAAGAAAAAGGCTGTCGATGAGTACATCGCCTCATCGAGCTTTGACGGCCTAATGGTGGATTCGTACCGAAGGGGTTTCAAGCTAAGCTAGTGGATGATCTGGAATACGTACCTCGAGCTCGATATTAGTGCCATATCCACTTCGCGCATAACTCAGGAGATGGCCAATGCTGCTGATGGTGAGCCAGACTCCGAGGGCGAGGCAGGGCCTTCGGGTATC